CTGACAAGATGGAGGTCACTTCCGATATAATTTTTGGGAAGAATAAATCTCATTAAAATGGTAATCCTACCAAAAATATTATATCCCACAGGCATGTTGTTTGCAATTTTGAAATCAGAAGATATTAAAGTAATTAACAAGGCTATGGTGGATTTCATTTGGGCAGGAAGAAAACCCAAAATTAAATTGGAGACACTACAGTTACCGAAAGATCTGGGCGGGTGGGGAGTGCCAAACATAGAAAATTATGTCCTCTCAATACAAGTGAGGATTCTTTCTTCCTGGATACATGAACATTCTGATCTGCCATGGCTAAATATTGAGGAAGTATTATGTAAACCATCCTCACCTGTTAACTTTTTAGGGAAACATCTAAATGACTTACCTCACGTAATAAAGCATAACCCACTGATATATAATGCTATGTGGACGTGGGGAAAACTGAGAAAATTTTTAACAGTAGTCTTCCGTTTAATATCTTGTCAACGTTTATAAATAATCCAGACCTTCTGCCGCAAAACATAGGGTCAAGCTTTGTGGGATGGCATAAAGTAGGTGTGAAGAGGTTTTATGACCTCTTTAAACATGGTGAGTTTAAATCATTTGAATCCTTGAAGTCCCAGTATTCTATGTCAAAGACTGAGTTTTATAAGTATTTGCAATTGAGAAATTATGTGTTAAAAAATGCTAAAACATTACGAATCTCAACTGCCTCTTTTCGGTTGGAGAAATTTTTTTTGGATAATAGGGAGCATAAACATTTTGTATCAAAGTTTTATTCTGAGATTTATGCCCTAATTGTGGATAAACTGGCATGATTGAGAAAATATTGGGGGACGCTGCTTAAATGTGAAATAGATATACAGGCATGGGACAAAATCCTGCTCCTTCCATCTAAAATCTCTGTTTGTAACCGACTTAAAGAACTGCAGTACAAAATTTTGCACAATGTGTAGATTTCTCCGTATATTTATAGTAAGTATAGTATGGGAACATCTCCAAACTGTCTCAAGTGTAAGGTCAGAGTGGGCACTAGATTCCACTGCTTGTGGGAATGTGCTATTATCCAGTCACTTTGGAAAGAGGTCTGTGCCAATGTTAGTACAGCCATTGGTCATCAGGTGACAGAAACCCATTAATGTGTATATTGGGATATATTCCTGTCTCACTGGTACAACATGAGCATGTGATTCAGTCACTGTTAATGTTGGCCAGGAAAAACATTATGTTGAGATGGGTGGGGGCTGAGCCTCCCTCCATTTCTCTATGGAAGTCGCTCATCATTGAAGTTATGACTCTGATCAGGCCGGGACACTATATTGATGGGAGCTCCCGAATTTTTGTGAACAAATGGAAGAAACCACTGGAAGCACTGGGAGTAACCTGTAAACTGGATCCTAGTGGACAACAGTTATGGACATAATGTTGTAATATTCTAGTGCTGTGTAGTGTTATTATTCTGGATGTGAACCAGTCTTATATTTGTTGGGGAAAAAAGTTAAATAAAAGTTAAAAAAAAAAAAATTCTGAAAAGTGTCAGGTACAAGGACTGGACTGAAAAGTATTGAACAGCAGTCAATAACCTTCAGAAAGCCTGGAGAACTAAATCTAAAGTGTGTCGTTATCTCATAATCAATCATACTTACACCATGTAGAGTAAGTCAACCATTTAAAGACAAACCATTTTATGTTAAGGATAGAGCTCAGATCCGATCCCTATACTACAAAGCAAGTTCAACCAGAATACCTTTCTGCTATCTGGATTCACTTATTCCAACATATATAGTTGGTATAAGCAGTTACATGAATCAGCTGTCCAAGTTAACCCAGAGTTTCCTTTTCATATAAGGCATGGTGTTAGCAGCATTTGACTAATCTGAAAAGGAAGTTTCACATGTCATGTGACTCTTCTTCCACAGAATTATTGTCATCATCACCCCCTACTCCAGAGACTTTATCAGACATGATGATTAAAAATCTAAAATAAATAACAAACTTTTGCAAAAAGGACACGCAATTAATACTACTTTTTTTTAAATTCTATGAATTTGGTGAACTGTAGATGCAGTTTAATTCAAATTTAGTTTAATCACTGAGTGCGCTCTCAGAGCTGCCGTTTATTTTTAGGGTGACAGTAAACTGGTTTTGTTTAAACATTAAAGCTTACAGTCTCACAGCCTAATAAAGGAGGTGTGGAAATAGCTTTGGTATGCCAGCAGATACAAGTGAAATTAATTTAACAGGTATTCTTGGTGTGTTCTGTGTAATTGCAGTTAGTAAAAAAAGATTTGGCAGCAGATTAGAATGAAGTGTAACAAAAATTTATGGATTTTCTAAATAACCAAATGAAAACACACATATCTGCGGTAATGCAGTGCACACTGTGATCTTCATTCTGTGGTTCTGGTAATGTACCGCCCAAAGTTGGAGTACAACCTGCTCCCGATAGTTTTACTTTTAATTCTCAGCTCCATACTCTGTGCGGTTTAAGGGTCGGAGTGTAAAAATGTAATCTAAAACAAAAAAAAGACACCAAGTTGTACCTCTCAACTGACCTCTCCCATACATACTGATGATAGTTTGCATTTCAAATGCAAATGCAGATATATCTCTCTGGTCCTGCATCAGGTCTTTGCTGATTTTTCTTTTCTATTTCAAGGACTTGACTTAAGATTTTGCTTATTTGTTTTGTTTTTTTGTTAGTAATTTTTTAATAGCCTTGGGAATTGCATTGTTGTTGTTGCAAAAATACTAATTTATGCCTGTAGCTAGTAACAAAGGGCCTGAAGATACAGTTTAAAATTAGCTTTGTGCTAAGTAGTCCTTTATGTGTAGACACAACACATGTTCATCCCCTGGGTTAGGTGCCTTTTTTAATGCATGCAGTTTGGTCAGTGTTAAGTAGCTTAACACAAATCACAAATTCAGAAATCTAAATGTTAACGCTCAAGATCAAACAGTTACTAGATAGTCTCGCTTCTTGTAAGGAAAATATGAAGAAATCTAGGGCGGTCCAAGACTTGCACAATACAGTGCAATCTTCTTCTTTTTTAAAAACTGGTTGAAGTTGACACAATGGTTGGGTTACCTTTGCATATTATTACCTCCTCTTTACGAATACTAAAGTGATGAATGTAATATGTGTAGTTTTAAAAGGAAGTATTTCCTATTTTTGTCTGTGAAGGTTCTCAGTCATCCAGGTCATCGTAGTCAAAGGAGCTTGCAAAGAAAAGCGTCTGGACTTCTTTAAGTTGCTTGAAGACATTTCACCTCTCATCCGAGAAGCTTCTTCAGTTCTAAGGTCAAATGGTGGGGAGTCCCAGATTTAAACCTAGTGGGAGAATATCCCCTCACAGAGGGACAAAAGGACCCCTGAACGCCCACTCACATCCTGGGCCATCTGACCTCAGGAATTCGCGTGATAAGGTGGGGCCAGGTTTCACAATGAGCTCACCCGAAACCCTGGCTGATTGGGACCCACACCCATTTTCATACCTTGGCTCATGTGATTAGAGGATCATCAGGGGGTCCTTTTGTCCCTCTGTGGGGGGATATTCTCCCACTAGGTTTAAATCTGGGACTCCCCACCATTTGACCTTAGAACTGAAGAAGCTTCTCGGAAGAGAGGTGAAACATCTTCAAGCAACTTAAAGAAGTCCAGACGCTTTTCTTTGCAAGCTCCTTTGACTTGTTCTTATACATGTTATACATTTATTACCAACCTGAGAGTTTATCCGCTGGTGATTCGACATGACGAATGACTTCTGAAGTCTTAATTCAGCTCAAGATGCTGTAGATTCCAGTCAGTAACACTTTCGGTCCGCTAGTAAAACGTAGTTCTATTAATCTGCGCTCGATTACTCTTGAACTGGACGTAAGTCCCCAAAAACTGAATTTTAGAACTGAAATTGAATTGTAGAACTGAAACTGAATTGTAGAACTGAAACTGAATGGTGAGAAGTGAAACTGAAATTATTCGAGAGCTAAACTTTTAAAGGATAAAATACGGTTTCAAAGAAAATTAATTCATTTTCAAAATATAAAATTCAATTTCTATTTACTGATGATCATTTTCAAACCAATAAATTGAATTTCAAATTAGGATAATTCATATTCAGTTTTTAAAAGCATTTATTTAAGTTACAATTCAGATTCGAATTTAACTTATTCAAATTCAGTTTCTGATGGCACAGATTTCTGCCCATACAACTGATCGTCTCATTATCTGTGTCTAATCGAGTAAGACAGGATTGACTGAAGGAGAATGTTCTCCTCAAAGGCTTCCTACAAAATCCTCCTAAAGGGAAAACAAAAATGGCTTCAAGTCAACTAATACTAATCCTCCCAACTGTGGGATCAAAACATACTCCCCAATTAAAGCTGTGCTGGCCAAGCACATAGCATTACACTAACAGGACAGGCAGGACAACATGCTCTGTACGTTACAGGATCTCTATTATTGCTGCAGAACAAGGACGGTTCGTGTATATGTGAGCTATTGATGGAAACCCAGCTACAACAGTACTACAACAGCAGAAAAGCAAAGAGAAGCACCACGTGAAGATCCACATGAAAAGGTGCATTCATCCTGGCCCTACTAAAACAGGAAGCGGGGGCATCGTAATTCACTGAAAGCCTCATGTGACCGTTGCAGGCAAACTGTGTTGCTGTGGACAAGCAAGCCGCTGTTGATCATCATCATGTTGATGGAGGGAGTGCGTTTTTCTTTAGTCACTCTTGATGCACACTAGAGCCCGGGGAGGCAGGGAGCTCTCCTGTCTCAGCAGCCACACACACACACACACAGACTCGAGCCGTTCGTCTTCTGCTTACTGATCCACTGACTTTCGCAGATTTTATCAAGATGGCTTGGAGAGGAGGGAGAACACTGTCATTTTATCGGCCAAACCTCTGTTTATTCTAAGAGAGGTACTGTTTCTCACGGGGGGACTCGGAAGGAAACAGAAAAGGTAAAGACTAAATTTATAACAGTCCGCTGGGAATGGCAATGAGACGTGGCTAAACCGTGTTTTCTTTATTCGGCTGTGATCGCGGTGGGTAATTCAGCCAAACTGGTAGTCTCTCATTCTACCACCAACAGCTGTATTATCGCAGTATTGTACTGCGGGCTCTGGCATACTCGCTGTTGTTATGAGCCTTTTTATCCGTACTGCCTCCGTGGACCGTTTCACCAAGCTCGCTGTTGTACCTCAAAAATGTCTGGAGCAGCGCCGCGCTAAACTGTAGGCCTGCCGACAGGATGAAGGCAAAACTCCCCCTGTGCCAACGCAGCGTTGTTAGCATAACGAGTGGCTAGCCGAGGCTACAATAGCTAGTCGTTCATGTCATCTGTCGTCTTTTCCACAGCTCTCTCTCACTCTCTCTCAGTAAATATCTGGGTAATCATTTGCTACGACGACGTCAGGGTAAGCGGACTTGACTAAGGCAAACCCTTGTTAAAACGGCCGTTTTATGAAAGACTGGGACACAACTTTTGACCACTCAAAGTTCCGTTATGTTTGTTCTTGCTAGCCAAGGACCTCCCTGCGGTCTCAGCTGAAGGTAAGATAAGATAGAACTTTATTAATCCCTCGGGTGGGTTCCTCTGGGAAATTCGACAATAACGTGACTTACACCTGAATATAGAGACCTGACCTTAAATGTGGCCTCTGATACAACACTTTAGGAACCGTGTGTATGAAATGAGCAGTGAGGTGAGGTGAGGTGAGCGACTGTTGCTTCTAGACTTGTACCCTGTGATACCTTCCAACCGCCTCGGGTTCGTTTCTGCTGCAGCGGTTACCCTTTTCGGCCTACCTACCTACTCTTTATTTTTATTATGTTTAAATCTTTTTTCTTTTAAAATTAGGTGTCTGCGTTTTGTTTGCGAGTCTGTAGTCAAAGGCACCGACCGAGGAGTGTGTCTGCCTAACTGTCTATTGGGCAAACTTTTCACAGATTGCAGGCAACAACAAAACTGGATGAATAAGTTCATTTTTACGCGAGATGGTCAGCGCAGTGTCAACAACTGCGCAGGTTGGTGCTTGCGTTTTAAATATAGAGGACAACATCTGTTGGCTCATGCATATTATTAACTTTTTTCTTTTTTTTTTTGTTAAAGTGTCAGGCAGAGGCATTACTCTTTTCTGTGCTCAGCTGTGCTTCGCCACCTCCCTGTGCTAAAGCTGCTGAGTCCTTCTCGGCAGTTTGCCTTCAATTTCCAGGATCAGAGACAGTCCACTTGATATTTGATATCAATATTTTGAAGCATGTCAGATCTGAGAATTTCTGCAGCATGCTTTTTTTCATGCTTTTTTTTTTTTCAGAATCAGAATCTGATTCTGATTCTGATTCAGCAGGGTCTCCTCATATTTTAATTTTTTTTATTTATATATTTTTTAAATAATGGATTGCATTTATATAGCGCTTTTCTAGGCACCCAAAGACCGAACTAAAATCTCCAATGGTGTCAGGGGTTGAAAGAATCTGTAGACAACAGACCTGTATTTAGCAGTTTGTTCCAATCAGGGACAAGGTCACACAGATCACTGACTGGGTTGTTTTGTCTTCTGCCAGGTAACCTCTAGACTGCATAATTCACTGCATTATGGCATGTTGATTCACGTTTGTTTGCCTGAGGCAAGTAGATCGAGGTTAACTGAGCTATAACGGTGACTAAATACAGCAGTAACTTAGTTTTTGTTCGTTTTAAACAGGGAGCCCAGATTATGAGCGCTCTGCAGGTGTCAAACCATGAACACAGGGCGTGGGGTTTCCTGTTAAACTATAGAAAAAGTTTGCTGGAGTGAGGGCTTTAGCAGCACATGCTGATACATTTCAGTATTGCTGTACTCATGTCTTAAAGACGTGCTAAAAAACAAAATGACTTCTTCTGCCTCTCAGTTATTGTAACTTCTTGCATTTGGAATTCTTGTCAAGGTTCCCTGCATGAATCAAATCAATGTGTTTTTCTTCTTCTTATTTTTAGTGACTTTTATTTTCCTGTTGTAACCAACAGAAGAGATCAACAATCACAACTCTGTAGAGTTAAATGAGAAATCTAAGATCTGTCTTGATAAAACTACCTTTCATCCCACACATTTGACCTAAAAAAACATTTTTACCCTCTTTTTTTTTTCTTCTTCTTCTTATCTTTCTTGCCAGCCGATCTTTTGCTATGCCTCATTTTCCCCCTCCTCTAATCACTGTGTTTTGATTGTATCAGTTTTTTTTTTTTTTCTTGTGCTGCTGACAGATTTCTTTAGTCTTTACAGATGTGTAAATAAAATATCCCACTCTCCTCCTGTGATTCCAGGTGATGACCTGAATAGTGCCATGTGAATGACTGAAGACAATGAAGCCTGCACACAAGCTGCTGTTCATCCTGTGCCCCATGCTGGTCCTGGGCTTTATTTACTACTCCTCCGGGAAGCTGCATCTACCCATGTGGGGACAGAAGTCTCGTAAGTGACATCTCCAGTATGACTAACATTTATTCCATCACCTCATCGTCCATCTGTCGTAGCTGTTCGAAACATTGCATGTTTTATCTGTTTTTAGAGAGAGCAAGTCTTTTTTATTTTTTATTTTTTTTAAATCTGTTTTTCTGTCTGCTTCTCTGCGCTCACTGTCAGCTAGTTGCATGCTCATTTTTTTGTTTTTGTTTTTCTTATTTATTTGACAGGCCAGAAGGCCAAGCTTTGTGTTTATGTCTCAAAACTTTGTGATGTGAAAGTTAGTTTTTCATTTACTTCAGAGGAGCACTGAATGTGGAGGGGACATTTTAATTGGATCTGCTTGTACATCAAGTATAAAAGCAGTGGACACACCCATGTGGATTGTCTCAGAAATGGATATTTAACTGCCTCCACCTAGACTACAGTTTAAAAAACAAAACAAACTCTGTGTACAACTGATCAAGTGACCTCACCCCTTTTCCTTTATGCTTTTGACATGAGGCTGGCAGTTAGTTTCACAGTACGACTGCACCAGCCACTGAAACTGAAAATTAGTTAGTTAAAATTAGCACATAATAATGTAGACAGAGAGCACACCTGCTGGGTGTTGGTCATGAGTAGGCATTTGTAAATTGAATTGTATTTATTTAGAGAAGTAATGATGAAAACCAATTTCTGTTTGGCTAAGTGCTTAACAACCAACTTGTTAAAGCCCCTGGCCTCTCCAAAACACAGCTGTTTGTGTCCAGCAGAGGGGGCTAGAAGATTTCTGGTAGAAAGTTGGAAGTTTTCTGAAGAAAGGTTTCTCAGGGAGCAGTGTTTTGACACAGAAACCACAAGTGTAAGTTTTTTCCAGTTAGCTTGCAGCTCTTTATCATTACAAGCTATTAACTGATGCACTCTGCTTTTATTCCCATCAAGATAAAACTGTTTACCTCAATAATTGATCCCATTAACTAACTACAGTGCAGCAAACTGCTTAAAAACCCTGTAGCAGAAGTGAGAGAATAATCTTTTTATTTCCTTCATTTTTTTTTTAAACTTATCACCATTCCCCAGAATTGCCCTCCTAAAGAAATGGTGAGTAACAAAAAGGGCATCAGCTTTTCCCCTGACATTTGTGCCATGTTTCTAGCCATGCAGCTAAATTTTGTTTTTGTACTGATTCCAAAAGGAAAGTGTTTCAGTAGGAAGCCACGCATAGATTCTGTTCACATTTTTCATACATTATGACCTAATTTCTTGCCTTGCCCTCATTGTTTTAACTTGGCCTTGTTTGTTCTTGGATCACTCGGCACTCTCACTATCAATGTCTTGTCCGTGAATCATTGATGATACAACCTTTTTTTGTTTTGTTTTTTTAATGGTCTGAACCTTGTTTGGTACCTCTGCTTTTCTTTTTTTAAGTTGGTCTAGTTGCCATGTGACGGTGGCTAACTCCCTGAGTCCAAATATGACTTAAAAGTAATAACTTTAAATAAAAGTAAAAAACTCATCTCTCTTATGTTGCATTACTGACAGATCACGTGATCAGTCAATGGTCCTGGTTGTCACAGTGCTTTTTGCTCCCTCTTTTTTAACCAGGCTCTTGTGTTCTGTTGCAACATCTCACATTTTCTTGAAATTCAACATTCATCATCTTAAAGTGTGAAATACAAAGGCGTTCAGCTTTGTACAGTTACCTTTGTAGGTTTGAAATTGTACAGCAGCAGTGTCCTCTAATAGGTTACATATAAGGGTGCATGATGTGAAGAGAGTGAACACACTTCAGCAGCACACCAAAAGAAGATTGGAGGGGGAAATATTGGCTTTCCGTAGTGCTGTGATACCAGATGTTTGGCTTAAAGAAGGTCAAAGGGGAAAGAAGAACATGTGGCTTGTCCCTCCCGCCCTCTGGCCTGGTCAGCTAAGCTGTGCTGTCGCAAGAGTGATCTCTCTCTTCACCATTATTGTCTTACAGTGCAGGACTTAGTGCTCCAGGGGCAAGTGTTATATGGAGACTTGATTATAAACATCATTAATACCATCATTTATTTTGTTTGTTTATTGTACAGTGTCATGCATTCACTGATTTGTGGCATTGCTGTGCACTCTTTTTGGGATTTCAGCTGGGAAATACTGGGAAATTTTTATTGGTTACATTTGTTTACATTTATTAAGAATCTGTTCGTTTACCAGTTTGCCTCTGCTGTTTTGACCGTGGGAATTTGAAATCAAAGTGAAGGCTGGTTTTGAACATGGGTGTGTGATCATTGTATTCAATTTCTTTTTATGTCAGCTCATGTGCTTCTATTGTGAGATGGTTTCTAGTCGGTATTTTAACACGCTTCTTCAGCTGAGGTGGAGCCTGTACTGGTAATTGAGGTTCATAAAGCAGGGAAAGATTTTCCTTGTCTGGTTTCACTTATCCAAGCATGCACGATCCCTAAGTGGTCACATAATGGTGTATTTAACTTAGTAAGTCAGCACAGAGCTGTTCTACCTAGTTATGCATGCAAAAATATAAAAAAAAGGCTCTGTTTTGTAGCATATAGGCAACCACAAGCAGAAGGGTGGATTGGCAAAGAGAGCAGCATATTTGACAAACCAGGACACAAATACAATCTGAGAAATATTAGAAATGTTATTCGTATATTAGAAGAATACAGAAGCATTAAAGGCTTAATAAGCATATTAAAAAGGACTGTATGAATATATGTTGTGTGCTTTGTGTGATCAGTAAGACTGGAAAAGCGCTGAGGTCTATCTGAAACCAGGAAGGAAATGAAAAGGTTTTCTGTTAAGACTGTCAGTGTCACAGCCCTAATGGCAAGAGATAGTGAGGTCTAACTGCTATTTATACCCATGTGTTCTGTTACATAATAATTTGCAAGCATTTTAGCTGTATTTCTTTCAGTTCCAATTCCAGACAAGGTAAAGAACTTAAAAAAAAAAACCCCATATCAAACAGCAGGCCTATTTCTAAACTCTTTGTTTTGCATATGTCAGAGAAACGCAAGGCTTGCGTGTTCTATCTTGGGAATTTGTATTAAAGGTTATAAAACAGTAAAATGGCATTTGATAGCACATCTAGCGATTACAAAGTAAAATAATAAAGCTGCTCCCATAAATTTGTAATACTCAATAACTGCACAAAGGTTAATGATGGCTTGCAAGTAATACTTATGTTCACAAAATAGTTCATTAGGTGGTAGTTTTGTACACGTGGATCTGTTTACTTGAGCGTCACCTTCATCAGAGCAGGTTAGGTCTGCAGCAGAGCCAGTAACCATAGCTTTATCACCTTGTTATGCTTGTAATTGTGGCGCTCTGTGGAAATCCAAAAGTTTGTGTCCTCTGTTTGAATTCTTGTATCTGTTCTTGCAGCAGTGGGGTTGATTTAGTCTCTTAGAGGAGGTACATTGCTGCCTGTCCAGAAAATGGCACAGAGGGTACCCAGATTATCCCTGATGGATAACGGGTTATTCAAATACCCCTTCTTCACCACAGCCTCCAAAGTGTCCAGTTTGCAGCCAATCACAGAGCCAGCTGTGCTAATCACTTTGTGTAGTCTGCTTAAGCCATCAGCTCTGATGCCGCTCCCCTTACAGACTACCGCAAAGTACACTGCACTCACCACAGCTGAGTGCTAGAAAATGTTCATTTGCTCAGGTATTTTTTTTACCCATCCTGTCCCGGGATAGACACAGGTCTGTAGACTTCAGAAGGAAGAGCACGGCTATCACTAACACATCCAAGTTCCAACCACTCCACAGTGCATTTCTGTGGATACCATCGGCAGGCATTGTACTGACCGTCTGAACAGAGACATCAGTCCCCTGTGGAAATCCTATACTGCACACCACCAAACCAGTCTCGCACATCGCCACCTGTCATGTAGTCTGTAATGAATGAGATGGTGGACACGTTCACTGACATTTCCTAACATTTATTTCTCAATAGCAGTGGCTGAGTAGTCTTAAATGCACTTGAGAAAACAAAGAAGCTGTTACTATATAGATGGGAGTAAGCGCCCATCCATTCCCCAACGTAGTCAGTATGCAGACTGCAGAGGGTCAGCATGACATTTTACACTCAGTTGTCCACCTGTTTTCTAACAGGAATTGAAAAGAGACTGTCCCTCTAAGAGTGTTCATGCTAAACTTATCTCAATTTTATGGATAATCTACTTACAGCCAACTTTGTTTTCAAGCTTACCAACAGCAGGGTCACTTATTATTGGGTTCCTTGCTAGTAACAAAAACACTACTTTAGGGTGCTAAATCACACTTGAAATTAACGTCTGTAGGGTGAGAAAAGAATGTGTACAGCACCAACTGAGCTGCTAACAGTTTCTCTGTAATTGCGGTAGCCAACATGCCACAGCTTTTAATCCAGATTACTTAAAGCCTAAACTCCATTAGATGAATTGAAAATGTTGTCTTGAATTTAACCCTGTTTGTCCGAGGCATTCATAAGAATTTCTTTAAACTTTGCTCACAAATCTGTAAACCCATGCACTCACCTGTTCAATATAAAATTAATCACTACACATGTAGTAGATGTGGTCAAGAAGAATTCAAACTGAGCATCAGAATGGAGAAGAGAGGTGAACGTGGCAGTTCAGATGGCAAAAGGCAGTCCAGTATATTTATTTTAAAATGGGATTCTCTCTGTCACTCTCAGTGCTTCATTAACATTGAGCTCAACAGCAGCTCAAAGAGCATGCTCTAAATATCCCCAGCTTGATTTTCAGCCTCAGAGATCAACTTCTCTTGTCTCAGCGCTATAGTGATACACCTATACAGTTTCAGCCGGAACAGAGCCTGAAATTCACTAATTGGCGAGTCTGAACAGTCGTGAAAGGCAGCAGCTCGGTTTTGCATACAGCCTGTTTCGTAAAAGAAAACATTTCTGCGCAGCAGTTTACTTCTGTTTGGTTGAAAACCTTGTTAAAGGTCCTCAGACTTTATCTGATCTGCCAAACAGATTGAAATCACTTTTCTGTAAGAGGAAGAAATGTGAAAGTATATTAAAGTCAAAGTGATCTTCACTGCAGGCTTATCAATATTGCAAGCCCCGTCTTTAAAGTAAACTTCCTTAAAACCTATTTATATTCTTATCTATATTCCGTGTAAGCCACTACTGAAGGACCGGGTTATATTTCCGTTTCCTTTCATTTCTGTCGCTGCCTCTTGTTTGTGCGCATCTGTTCTTGTTTGTGGCCACTGTTGTCTTTTCTGCTGAAGTAAAAGCATTTATTAATATATATTTAGGACCTTGTATATTGGTTGTTTGGTTAATAGTTGCCTTCACAGCTTTATCCTCATGATCTTATTTCAGTTTAACCCCTTTTGTTTACAGACAAAGATGCAGAAGAGCCGACTCTAGCCCAGACTAGAGCCCACAGTAGAGCCCAGACTAAAGGTGCTGAAGTGAAAAGAATTACAGGTAGAGGCACTGGGACTCTGCCCACATATACTGGGTTACAGTTATGAAGCATTTTTTTTCTATTTCTCTTTTTTTTTGTTCTTAATGGTTGAGTTGTTGAGGGGTTTGAATATAAATATCTGCTAACTTCACATCGCTTTCCATAACCCTTTTTTATGTCTCAAAACGGTTTTAAACCGTTTGTGCTTATTCATTCATCATACTCTCAATGTTCCAGTGTCCAAACGGTCATATAACCACAATGGAGTCTTGCTTTTAATTTTCTACTTCACTGGGCTTTCTGTCTTTTGAATAAAGATTGGAATTCACAGTCATAATTCAGCCCACTGGGATTAAAGCCACTAACCCCTCCTCTTTCTTACTCCGTAACTTCTGACATTTCTACTTGGCTTTATTTTCAAGTCCAATGCTGCCATGACAGAATGACTTCAAAAGGTGCTAACTGACCCTTTTCTGTTTCAGAGTTGGAAATGGACAACAACGTGGGACAAATAGTAGGCTCAGGTACAGCTGCAGCCCCCCCAGCCCAAACTTTTACCCATCATTGTTGTCCCAGACACCATTTTAAAGAAAACCCTGGGAACCAACAGCCCTGTTAGGTTGGGAAACACGTGGCATTTTCAAAGAAGTCAGAGAGCTTTGTTTGCTTTTTCCAGTCTGATCTATTCCTGACAAAAAAAGTACTTTGATTTTAGAAGTATCTTTGCTAAATTGATGAAACACTCATAACAACTGCAGGGGAAATGAACATGTGCTCAGCCATCATTCTCTTATGAAGGACAATACAACACTGCCCTCTGTTGTCTCAGTTTGGTAACAAACAGCAGTGAAACGGTCTGCATGAATTTTGGTGGTGTAAAGGAATTTTGGTGTAAAGGGTTAGAAGACGTAAGATTTACTTACTGCAGGTTAAGATAAACCACTAAGTTGCTTTGACTCTGCCCTCTGGCTGCTATTCTACAGATGTGTCACCCATCTTGGCTGCTAAGGCTAAGTTCCCTTCCTCCTGGGCAGTGCTTGGATCCTTCCCTTTCAAACTGTCAGACATTCCCATTACCCTTTTTCTTTATCTTTATTTTCTTTTATTCTCCAGCTTCTCTTTGACAAGATCCACAACTGCAGGTGTAATGCTGCACTATTCCTAATTTCCTCCATGCTAATGTAGTTACAGATTTTTATTTATTTATGTTTTTGGCCAGAAATGATCATAGCAAGTATTTTGCAGACCCAATCAGCTTTATTGCAAAGAGTCGGCCTGCAATGGAAACAAAGCTCCCATTTCACCTTAAATATGTTCCTCCTGGTTTTCTGTGCTCTCTCTCTCTCTTTTCTACCTCAACGCTTCACTAGGCACCTACTGGCTGTCCCTTTGGTTGTCCATAGGTGATCTCTGACTTGTTTTTCTAACTTTTATTTTAAACTCAACAGATTGTTTTGGCTGGCTTCTCCCTAACCTTGCTTGTTTGTCACAAGTCCTTGATCCTAATGCTTATGTTTACATCTGCCATATTGTTTCCCCCGTGAAAGCCACACAGGTTGTTTACAACTACAGCTGCTGAGCTGTTAGTTGAATAGCTGGATGACTGCCATACCTTTGTTGTTGTTCTGTTTTTTGTTTTTTTGTTTTTGTTTTTTTTCTTAAATCAAAGTGGTTTGTGGGCTCTTGTGGTGATGGATAATTTCCATTTCTTTTTCCATCTCTGTCCCCAGTGTATGATAAGCAGGGCTTTCTGCTACAGCTGGACACAAAATTGTGAGTACATCTCTTTCTAGTAAACACTTATGTCATCTATTATAACACATTTAGCTATTCTCCATCATCGTTTGCCACATTACACATGATGGATTCCCAAAACCGAATTCCCTTTTAGACTTTGACTCCATTAATTCAGCCGTGTTTTACATCTGTTATCACAGAATACTGCAGTCAGGCTTGATCAATGGGAAAACACGAAACATGAAAATGTAAACGTTTGGCTAATTAATCTAGCCTTATTTCTTTCCCCCTCCCCCCTCCTCTTTTTAAATAAACACACAGTGTAGGAAACACAGATGGTGACACGAGCACAGATACGATAGGTGGTCTGAGTAATAACTTTTGAAACAAGTGTGACTTGAGATGTAGGTCAGTTAGTGTTTTGTGTTTAGACTGGCTGTGGTTTGTCAGAGTAAGAACATGTTACAATAGATCATTATGCAGCTGTCATTGTGTCACTGTGTTTGTTGATGTGTGTATAATTCCCTGAATTGGTTTGACACATTGGCTCTAAACCACCATGGCAAGGTCCTTTTCTCTGGCCCTACGTTACCGCACAGGAATGAATGAGATGCTGCCATCACAGTCCACATCCACTGCAACCATAATGTCAGCACATGCTTTAAAGTGGAATTCACACGGGATCACTTCATGTAATGCAGCCGCTTTCTTTATTTTATTGCAATTCATCTTGTAGCTCAGAATTAGTTTTGTGACTCGTGTCATATCTTAATGCGGGGTAGGCAAACTGATGGAAATACCCCAGAGATTTTAATTCCACTCTACTGCAAGTGATTGAAGAGGATTGAAATAAAGTCTGTTAGCATAGATGAGCTTCAGATTATGTGCAAGAAGGCCCCAGTCAAACAGTTTCTCCAGCCAACTTTGATTTTTGGACCTCACATAGTGCAAAGACACGGGCCCCCCTCTCTTTTCCCGTTGTTTATTTGAAGTAGAATCATGGCATACATCACATTATTAATGATCCTGGTAGTAATCGGGAGGTTCAAGCTTTACCACTGCCAGCATGATTATTTAAACAAGGCTTCTCTGCTTCGTCTTGCCACACACACAGGTGATATGCTGACTTGTTGCCGAGTTCCCAGCTAATTCCACAGCCCCATCTCTCCTGCAGATTGTTTGTCAAACAAAGTTTTTGAAGCTTTGAATTTGTCATTTTAATTGGCAATCAGTTATCACGATGTGTCTAATTAAGCTCTCGCTTTCTTCTTTTTAATGTACAGATCGCAGGAGTTAGAATACAAGTACGGCAACCTCAGCGAAGGAGTGTGCAAGCCAGGATATGCAGCAGCTAAGATGGCCACCATCTATCCTAAGTGAGACATTTCTTTTGGACTTTTTTTTTGCATGTGAAGAACTAACTTTTAATGCAAAATCAAGATCTTTACGCATAGATAATGTTAACTGGATGTCAGCAAGAGAAAAGCTTTTACTCAAGCATGCAAACTTGCATGATGTCACTCCTCAAACCAACTAGGCCTTAAGGGTTTTGAGTCAGTAACAGAGAAGCCCCTACATTCCTATCCAGTCTCCCCCAGTTTCAATCATGTTTCTATCATCTTCTCCCCACCACAAAACCTCAACTGTGTCCTTGTGATCCCCCATTACACAAAAGAACTTTTGTCGCCTGAGTAGAAGGTCTCACATCACTTCCCTATCGTGTTAAAGAGCCTTAGAGGCGTTCTGCGAACGCCACCAACCAGCTTCCTGCCTTGACTCATCAAGGGGTCTCTAATACCCAGCCTACACAGTCTATACAATCCCCAACAGTCCTCCTGATGTCATTGGTTCTTTTGATTTTTCACTGTCTCCACTTTGTCGTCCGTTTCAGCTCAGTCTATTGGACATTGTCCTTTTAGCGTTCTTGCGCAAGGGTAGTTTTCATGTTGCTAAATAATAGGCTGTGACACTAAAGTAACTACTTGACCTAGCTATTGGGCAAAGGAATATATTGAACCTCCTTTATGTATCGCCTGAAGCACCAAGTTTTAAATTTTAAATTAAAAGTAGTAGTATTTAATTGAGTCTATTAAAGGTATATGACCTACAGTGGCTCCAAATGCTCTAAATAACACTATCAGCTGCCCTGTGGACTATAAAGTGCAACTTTTTTTTTTTTTTTTTAAAATAAGATGGACAAAGCACTTTGTGCCACTGCCCTCTGCCTATATGAGAGGCTATGATTTAGCAATGTCCTCCCTGGTAATGACTTCCTCTCATCAGCCGCACGTGTCGGATCAAAGTTCTGTTCAACACAGAAAACCCCTGGGAGCCCACTGATTACTACCACCTTCAACCCAGTCTCTCACAGGTCAATAAGCACAATTAATGCTGCACTTAGTATAAGTTTGTCTGTATGCTCATTTGTATAAATAAGTGTAAGTGTACAGCCAAATGTACACAGTTGTGCTGTGTGTGTGTTTGGTCGTGATTTGTCTCCTGTGTGGAAGGGAAGTCGGCTGTTTAACATCTTATCTGTTAGCGTTCTTTATTTCTGCCTGCTTTGTACATTTACCATTAAAATATTCTCGTTAACAGTTTGTGTGAATTGGTGTGGACGACAGTTCGACAGTTAAAGAAAACCTACTTAACCTCTAGCAGTGAGGTCCTATGGCTCTCCATCTAATCATCATCTGCTTCCTCCATGTTTGTCTTCTTCTGAAGCTCCTTGCCCTGCAGTCTCCAATTTATTTTACGCCCCTCCCCTCACCCTCTCCTTTCCCCCAAAACTGTTTGTATTAGAGCCCTAAATCAAGTGTTGGCAGTGAACTCGAAGTGGCACGGTTATGAAAATATTGCCTGTGAGAGATGGACCCAGCAAAGGAAATGAGCACAATGCATCCCTGCCTGTTGGCTGTTTTTGGGAGCCCTCACTACTTATTTAACAACAAGCAGCCCCCTGTCTCTCTGCTTGGTCAGGATGTCAGTGACTGACTGTTGGTCAGGGCTCACTGACTTGTAATGGTCCCGTGTTATTTATAGCCCCATGTGGCCTCAGAAGGCCCAGGTTTAATGAATCTCCATTTGTTTTGCCTGGACACAAGTCTCTGAGTGTGCATGCCCCTGTCAGGCGAGGTGAGTCAAGGTGGAGAGAGAGCCATACATAACTACCTCTAGTCGCTCGCTGGAGAATAATGAGGATTTCAAAGAATGATTACCGTGCTTGGAAGAGGCTGAAGCTTAACCGGAAGGTCTCCCAATAATGTCAGCCATGTTTGGTCATTGTGTCTCACATATTTCTTGTCAACCAGTGGCAGTGTTATGTTATGGGAACAAGTATTCAAGGGTCCTGCTGAGAAACAGAGGTGTAATCGAGCTTGTGAGTCTTTTCGTGCTTCCATAGTTTGAATGCTGTTTGTCGGCTGCAGGAGGAATAATTTACAGCTCTGTGTGTTTATTGGACAGGTGCATCAGCAAAATGCAACACTTATATTGCTGGTGGTCTAGTTCTAGGGAAGGGGTGCAATAAGCACTCTGTAATGTAATCTCTGTATTTCTTTAGACATTAACTAAAGATGTACACCAGTTTGATAAATCTCCTTAACTTTGTCTTTTCTGTAGGGGTGTCACGATGCTTTTAAGTTAGACACAAAATGTTAGGCAGCTTGTTAAAGAACAGCACATCCATAGAGCTCCATCCATGTAAACATCAGAGGAGAAACGACACGAACGGCTCCTTGCTCCTTTTTCCCTCTTGCCTCGCATCCCTCGAGCTTGACAGAGGGTTATAAAAACACACATCCATCCCGAAGCTACACTTGCAGAAGTGGCACATAACCCAGCGCTAGGGTCACAGGCGTTACTAAGAGGAAATGACTCCTTTTTGATATCGGAGCTGCAGTTAATCAAAGAGAGACACACACGCACACTTCTATAGCCACACAGGATAAGGAAGAGGCGATGGCGGAAGTAGCGGGTCGTGGGCCATTAAAAACATTGGCCACTGGGGTGTTTTTGACTATCAGGCCTAATTTGTTTTCTAATGGGACTGACATTTTGTTCTAGCCATTTCAACTGTGTATTCTGTCGTGGGTAAAAAACTTTTTTATCAACCCCTGAAGTTTTATCGTGTCTCTTCATTAAGAACAACATCCTCCACTCTAATTCAGTCTTGCTTCAGATCGTTAGAGGAAAAAAACATTGTGACATGAGTGTTGTTTCAGACAACCTCATGTGTCAGATGTGATTTAGGCCCTGGAGGAGAGGTTATGTTGACGGGTTATGCACTGCAACCTCTTAATTTCTATCACCTGCTTAGATTTGAGCTGTTGTGCTAAGGTGTGTGGAGGCTTTGCTCATTTTAGGAAGCTTTTACAGGGTGTGGGGATGCTAGGTTTAATGATGATGGGACATAAAAATTCAGTTATCACCTCCTTGGTAACATAAACTTTATTATCCCAAGTGTAGTGAGGATTACGAGAACCTGCCGGGATAGATTCAGCACACAATAAGTAATTGTTGAAAGTTTGTAACAGGAGCTGTTATACTAAGAATACTGGATATTACAGCATTGGTGTTTTTATCTTCTGTATCTCGGCTAATGAGAACCATCTCCACTTTTGTTTCATCTCTCTTACAGGTTTACGAAATTGGCGCCAATGTTTCTTGATCGAAACTTCAAACGGCTATCAAAAGTCAACAACTACTTACCTCCATTCGGCTTTAAAACGCAAGGTAAAGCCATTCATCACAGTTCACCCTCCACTAGTTTGTATGTTTATTGTGGATTATAGTAATTATATGTTCTGGGGTTTTAGAAGGAGTTGCCCATAAAAACAGAAAGAAGCTTCGAGATCCCGACTTTTTTTTTTTTGTGGTTCATGCTTCTCTCATGTTTTCCCTGATGCATGTCAGTCCTTCATTAGACCATTGTCTTCTAAATATCTTCATTTCTAGCTCTACAAGTTTTGGTGTAATTTTCTATTTCTTTGTTTTTTTTGTGTGTGTGTGTGTGGGGGGGCAAAGCCACACAGGACAGCTATTTTCACATGTTTCCCCCCCTCTTTAAATTAGACACCAAGCTTAAGCCATAAAGATTGGTGGAGTGCTCATTTAAAGTAAGACTGAGCATGTGTTCGTTTGCCACTGTTACGTTTAGAGGTTGTGTGGGAGATTGATGCCTGATGTAGTGCAGTTTTGTGCCTGTAGTGCCTGGTATCTCAGATATGAGCCAACAAGCTTTGCGTGTTTTCAGTATTAATCAACATCATATTCTAGCTTGCCAATATTTTATTTTGTTCAGTAGAAGCAATGGCATTCTTTATTTATCGGGGTTTTATCACTTGGCTCCTCATACTGTTTGTACTTGGCTACAGTCAGTACATACCAACCAACAATTTCAAAATGTCTCCTAAGAAGTTATTTTAACAGTTCAGACTGAATTTCCACTTGGTTTGTTTTGTATGAGTTGTTGAGAAAATCTGAGATCTAAGAAAAATAAGGCTCATTATTTCCTCTGTGACTTAAAGAATTTCTTTTTGCCATTTGTTGCAAAGTTTGTATTTTGGACATAATATATATATAATATGGAAATAATGTATTTTTCCTTTGCATGTTTGTTTGTTGCATATTATTTTTGAAAAATGGATAATTATTAATAATTATAGTCTCCAAATAATAATGCAAGCACAGAGTGTTTACAAATTCCCAAAAGGGTTGCAGAAGTTCATTTACAATAGACACAAGAAACTGACAGAAATTATTTGGGGCTCCCAGGTCATGCTTTTAGCTCTGATGCTAATTGGTCTCATATCAACCTTTGTTTAGTTAAAGCTAATCTCCAACAACAGTCTTCTTTCTCTTGAAGGTGAAAAAATATGTAACTGGTCACTTTAATCACTTTGAGTGATTAAAGTCTTTTTGGAAGCAAGTCTTCTAACTTGCAGATGTAGATGAACAGTTAATTTGAGACCAAGCCCCTATAAATAGACTGGCACGTATAAAGTGCTTTTCTTTTCGAAGCACTCGAAAGTCTTTTACTACAAGCCTCTTTCACCCAATCACAGGCAGTTTTTTTTTTTTTCTATGCCGACCTGTCTCTCTGATGGATGCATCAGGACAACTTTAACATAATGCCCAAGGATACTTTGACATGCAGACTGGAGTGAAGGAAACCAACAACCTTCCGACTGACAGATGGCCAACTCTACCTTCTGAGCCATTGCCGGAGGTGGAGAGTGTGTCAAAACTGCACTCACCAAGCTGTAGTTATGGAATTGCCAATCAAATCCAAAATTTGACTCTACCTACATGGGTTCTCTCCCAGCACTCTAGCTAACAGTCCACAGACTTGGTTATTTACCTGGTGATTCTAAATTGTCTGTAGGTGTAAATGTGACTGAATGGTTGCTATCCCTAGGTTTTTGCCCTGAAATGGACTGGCAACCTGTCCAGGATGTACCCCACTTTTTGCCCCCTGACAGCTGGAAAAGTCTAGTACCTATACCCTGAAATTAAAGAATACTTGCTTTACTGCCTTCACAGCCAGCGAAGCACAACATGGTAATACTGGTAATGCTCTCACGGTATAACATTCATAAGTATAGGATAGATTTTTTTAATTAATTAACTTTTTTAAGTATTCTCAGGCAGTCAGTCCAACCTCCGCAGACTTCTGTGTTTGTCGTAACCTTTCAAGTGATTTACATTTATTTGCTGGATGAACTCTATCTTGGGACCGGAAAATTTGATGTCTTCTAACACTCCAACGTTAGCATGTCCGCACACAGTGTTTGCACTTGTTAACTGACCTTAACACACTCCAGCACTTCAGATATCGAACAAGTACACAGTACCATGGGAACCTAAGAGATAACATTAATCTGTCTTCACTGGCATGCTCTGTCACATTTTCCAATACTTACAAGCAGAAGGTAAAGGGAATGTTACCTTTGTGCTCTGGCAAGTTCTCCACCGTCAATTAAACGTGTACTCATGTACACACACAGCCACGGCTATCAATAGAGCGCTCCCTGTGTGAGTGTTACACCTGGTTTCTGTTTTCTCCACGGACTGTGATGGCAGTGGGGTTTCCCTTTTAGTGGTATTCATGTGGAGAGATGATACGTGTGGATCTTGAATAGAACTCCACAAAGGATTCCAAATTGAGACCACGGAGTAGCGCTGGTGGGTGGGAGTTTTATTTTTACTTTTTATTCTGCCAAGAAGTATCTTTGGGACACATCAGCTATAGCCTGAAGAAGGAAAAGTAAACGTTAAGCTGCCCTGATTTGGTTTCCGGGGGGAATAAAGCTACACTGCCAGTGATCGCTCAAAATTCAGGATTAATTAAAATTTTAAATGAAAATCTTTTTAAATATCTTATTCCTGCAGTCTAAAGTGGACTTCTTTTTAAACTGTTAACAGACTGGAGGAATTTTGTGGTGTGAGGGTGTTGAACCATAAGTTTATAAATTCTTTGCAGTGCTATTTTTGGAGAACCTGTTGGGAGGAAAGGATGTGATTTGTTGTTAGTTGCTTCTGTACGTATCCATGCTTGTTTCCAGCTGTTATATTTAGTTTGGGGCATTAACTTTTTTTTTTGTGTATGTGTGTAGGGATGAACTTTTTGATCAGAGAAGCTAATCTATCTTTGCAAATACTGATCCAGGGTTAGAAAGCTACAGCAGACTATTTAAAAACTGTGTCCTCATCAGGCAGCTCCACAGTTTTACAAGTAAAGGAGTGATGTCCCTGCACTATTGATGCTGTTTTCATTCTCAGCATGTCCACCAAATGAAATCACACCGACCGTTATGCAACTTTACACTTAGTTAGGAGGAAGCACAATTAAGGCAGCCAGACTGTGAGCTGCTGCCAAAGACTTGAACACATCTCACATTTGCAGTCATTAGCAGTTTTTTTTTCTTCTTTTTTTTTCACAGTTGTTAACTAATTTATCAAGGATAGTGATACTTTATCTTTGTACTGCTGATAAATTTTTGGCTTTTTTGTTTTTTGCAATCATCTTTCTTTCATCACAGGATTTGTTGTAGTGTTTAGTCTCCACTCTTTCCAGCAAAGTGTCTGTGTTTATGTGTTATGTGATGCTTCTGCTATTCGCCGGTGTTGCCAGTAAAGATTTTTAACATTTCAAGAGTTCCACATTGGACTAATGTCTGCACTTGCAGCAATTTGTCTTTTGGCACTACCACAAGACATGCTTTGCTGAAAGGGTTTACCGCAGGTACTTAGAGCAATTAGCTTCCATGTTGTCCTCTGAAAGAGCACACTACCCATTGTGATTTTTCATTTTTCACCCGCTCGGATCCAGGTGTGGTCCTCGGCCTTGTGTTTATGCTGCTCAGGGTGATACTTGACGCCAGACATTGACACCACATCCAAACAATAAGCTGTGGCTCTGCTCGCCTCTCTTCACTAGGTTAATCATTAGGATTGTTAGACAGGGTGGATGGACTATAATATGTCTTACAACCTGGTTTGAGGCCCCAGTCTAAACGCTCAGTCTGCAAAAAGAGGCCAAGAGAAACAACAAGAGTGAGAGTAAAGGCAGACGGTGTGCTGCATTATGAATATAATAAATGAAATAGAATGCTATAAAATAATGCCAGACTTTTTGTGTGTCTTTTAAAAAAAAATTTAAACGATGGAGATGCAAATTGAGGATTTTATTTATTTATTTTTTTTAAATCACAGCTGTTAAATCCACGTAGTTACAAATTCCTGCAAATGTAAGATGGAACAAAAATAGGTGCAACTCTAATGGAATCTGCACATTTGGGATGTTGAAGAAGATGAGTTATAAATATAAGAGGTCTAAAAATGGTCAGGAGGAAGAAATGCATGCAAGATCTAATGCTGGAGCTATGACTCCAGCACAATAGTCCGTAGAACATGGCAGGAATGCACGCTATGGCTAAACATCGCCGTTTCTCAACCTGTGATCAGAGGGGTGCTAGCCATGCAAGGAGACGAGTACAACACCGGCCACTTAACCAGGAGAATGTGATTGTTTGAAAACAGCATTCCACTCTGAGTGCTTTTATGGCAGAGTTTTTACATACACACGCATACCATCCTTAACTCCGTATGGGTGTTTCTCTCAGATTCACTCCTCTCCAGAATACAACAGCTTCCCCTCCTGTAATCCCCATCACCACTATTCCTGAGGTTCACTGGTCACTCCTTATCTATGAGTGAATAAACGGAGGGTGGTGTTCTCTCTTCCTGTTTGAAGACCACCTAGATTGTTATATCTCGGGTGGTATGTTGAAATCTTTGGCAGTCTGTTTGGCCTTTAAAAGTGTGATTTCCCCCAGTTTGAGCTTTTCAAATATGTCATTTTCATTATTTGAGAACATCAACTCGTCTTTGGAGCTAAAGGGACGTTCTGAGCGCTTAAAGTGACTGACTCTGATGACAGAGCTCCATTTCTAGTGCCAGATTAGTAGATGGAGTATTTTAATGTTTGATACTTGGAGCATCATTCACTGCCGAGGTAAAAATTCTAAGCTTGGCAATGAATTTCACCCACATTTTGCATTTAATGTACTTGTGGATGAATTTTTAATGGGGATTTATTGTAGTATGGAGGTTCTGTCCTGTCTTTAAAATCCTGTTTTGTTTTCTTCTTTCTCTGCAGAGAGAATAATAGACAGCATTTTGACTATAACAAAAAATTACGGGCTGGGAGAGGAGCTTGACAGGTACCTGCACCCTACTCGTCAGCGTCAACATGAAGTCTCTTTTTGCTTCCTTGTTTCTTCTTAATATGACTAATGTCTGGCTGTCCTGCCTTCCAGTCTCAGCTGTAAACGATGCATCGTCGTGGGTAATGGTGGGATCTTATCCAACAAGTCTCTGGGGTCCCGAATAGACGAATACGATGTGGTGGTCAGGTAAGATACCAAAATAAAAGGGATTCTGTATAACAGCAGTGTTCTGTATAAGTTAAATAGTGTGAAGTTTTTTTTGGGGGGGGGGGGCTTGGACAGCTTGAATTTTTAGTTGAGGGGAAGAAAATGTCTTCTGCATCATCAACACGTGACCAAATAGGAATGCATGGTTGCTTCAGTGAGCTGGGAATCGGTATTGTGGAATATCGAGAAGTCTCTGCTCTGTTTTTTGTTATTTGGGGGGGACTCAGTAACATACTTTGTTATGACCTTTTGTTATGCATACTTTATACACTGCCTCCACCTGACATCAGAGCTCACTGCAGGCAGACGGGCATTCCCTGGAGTGGAGCGGACTGTGAACTCTCATCAGCCCACAGGCGAGCACAGCAGCCCACTATTCAACTAAACGAGCTAAAGATGAAAACGGGAAACTCCAAAATAAAACTGGATGTACTGTTACCTTTAGTGACTGTGTCTGAGAGCTCACTTAACATTCCACTCGTTTCCAGAATGACTGTGGCTTACCCAGATGTTGTCAGATGTTAGCTCTTGTGATGAGGTTGCAAGCTGGGTTTTCCTCTGGCCAGTCTTTATGCATAGACCCAGCTTATGCTTCAGCTGAACCTTCATGTGGAGGTTTTGCTTTGTCTTTCTGTTTGCAGACGTGCTGTTTTATCTAAATATCGAAAATAATAATCCTGTGCTTTTCACTATGCTTTTCTTAAATTCCTGATTCCACCCTTTGTTGTCTTTCTTGCGTTGACAGGTTGAATGAAGCTCTAGTAAAAGGTTATGGAAAAGATGTAGGAACCAAAACCACCATAAGGATTACATATCCAGAGGGTGCGATCCAGAACCCAGAAAACTACGAACAAGACTCACTTTTTGTTCTATCTGCTTTCAAACCACTTGATTTCAAGTGGCTCAGACAAATGGTCTACAAGGAGAAAATGGTAAGGACATATTTGAAGGGGGGTGGGTTGTTTTGTTTTTTGATGTTTTTTTTTGTTTGTTTGTTTTTGTTTTTTCTTCCAATGAATGAAGGTTGAAATCTTGAACTTACAAACACAAAACCTGGAAGATATTTGAACTACTTGAGTATTAAAATATAAATGGATCCAAAATGCAAGCAGTTTTCATAGAACAAGATTCCTGCTTATGCTTGCATTCACTTACATTCAAATTCAAATTTTTATTTGTCACGTACACAGTCATACACAGTACGATATGTAGTGAAATGCTTGGACAACTGCTCGTGACCTAAAGAAAACAAAAAAGGAAAAGGCTATGAATAAGATAGGAAATAAATATGAAAAATTAAAAAGGGTAAATTTAACTAGGAAGGAATAAAATATATAAATTAAAGTTGAAAATAAAATAACTGTACAACCAAATACACAATATAGAACTATATAAGAATGTATGAACTTACATTCCTCACTCTGTATTTGTTGGTTTGATCAGCACTCAGCTGAATTATTGCGCAACAATTTTGTCCTCCTTTGAACATCTATATCAGAGCAGTATAATCTATAATCACATCCTCCTGATTACCTTCTGTGGAAATCTAAACCACTTTGTAAAAGAATAAATAAGAATACACAGAACTATGCCATATACTAAATTAATATTGGGAATGTTTTAGATGAATGATATATTCTTCATTGTCGGTTAATACTTGTACAGCTGCTGTTATTGTGTGTATATATTTATTTATATTTAGATTTCTTCATACATTCTTATATAGTTCTATATTGTGTATTGTGTATTTTGTTGTACAGTTATTTTATTTTCAACTTTAATTTATATATTTTATCTTATTCTTCCCAGTTAAATTTACCCTTCATTCTAATTTGTGTTGTACAGTTATTTCATTTTAAACCTTAATTTATATTTTATTCCTTCCTAGTTAAATTTACCCTTTTTAATTTTTCATATTTATTTCCTATCTTATTCATAGCCTTTCCTTTTTTGTTTTCTTTAGGTCACGAGCAGTTGTCCAAGCATTTCACTACATATCGTACTGTGTATGACTGTGTACGTGACAAATAAAATTTGAATTTGATTTAAATGCTTAATGTGGAAAGGACATTCAAGGAAAAATGACCTTATTTTTTCCCTTTGCTTTGCCATGTAACAAGCCTATCACATGTCCCATGGAATATTAGTATTGGCACAGTTAATTGACAGGTTATGAGTTGCCCTATTAATCTCACAGGGTCAGACTGAATGGCCCAATTGTGTCTACGTTATCTATGAAAGTATTACCGAACATGGCAGTCTTTTAATACCTCCTCTTCTCGTTTTGTCCTTTTGTTAGAAAAAAGCTCTCTTGGCACTTTCATTCTGTTCTTGTTGAGCAGTCTATAATATATCTTTGACTGGGATTATTTTGAATCCACTTAGCTTAAGGTCAAAGGGCCTGCCTCAAAGTATTTAAGGGAACATACTAGAGCCTCCCTTTCTTTTCTTTTTTTTTTTCCCCTTCCCCCCCCCCCCCCCCCTTTTTTTTTTTTTTTTTTTTTTTTTAAGTTGTAGCATGTTTTATATCTTTATGGATTTACATTATTGCTGAGTGCTTCTATAAAGCTCAACATATGCAGTGTTAAGCAAAACCAGTCCTCCCTCCTTCTGTGAGTGGAGGTCACAAATTCACCCATAAAGGGCAATAACTTGACTTGATTTTAAATTTGGACGATTTCCCCTTTAAGGCCATTCTGTGCACCGTTGCATCACTTCGAGCACTCTTCCTAGGTTTGAATCGCTCCCTGGCCACTTGCATGCACACTGAAATTTCAGTTGTCAAAACAGCAACACTTCCACTTGGAATTTCCAAAGTGGTGCTTATACACCACTTTGGAAATAGTCATTAGTTATTATTAATCCATGGCTTTCTTCCACAGTGTGCCTTTTATCGTGTCTCCCTGCCTGGTCTCACTTTGGGGGTTCTATTCTCTTTTATTGTAGGGTCTTTACCTTACAATACAAAGCGTCTTGAGGCAACTGTTGTTGAGATTTTGGCGCTGAATAAGTAAAATTTAAATGGATTTGTGAGAAAGGACAGACATACAGAGGTGTGAGTGGTTAGCATGCTTCTGGTCACACTACTGACCTTTGGGTTTGGACTCTGTGTGCTTTCTCTAAACTACAGTTTGGTGTTCAGGTCGTAGCTTTAGTGTCTGGCTCCAGTGATCATCCTCGACATGAAAGCTGCATCAGTTTGACACAGAAGTTGATGTTTGTCTGTGGTGAAATCTAAAAAGAGCACATGCAGGTGGTCATATTTGGATTTCCAGTGAGCAATCAAACTGTGAACACAGGAAGTGGTGCAAAGGTGCACACAGAGGTCTCCTGCGTGGGGAGGAGTGTTGAATTTAAAGCAGATGTTTGTTTGTGTGGGTTTTGGTTTTTTGTTGTTGTTAATGTTGGTGTTGTAAAACTCACATTTGTAATTTTATTAAAAATCAGAGTAGGGAGTGTATTTTTAAGCAGGCAGAATAATCATTTATTTTTGTTGTTTTGTTTTTGTTTTGGAAAAAAAGTCTCATCAGAAAACACAGGATTTGGGAAACCTGCTTTATTTTCTGACACAGCCGAGTGAATTTCAGAGACCGTATCCCAGCTGGAATTTTTACAAGGCGGCTTTTGTCAAAATAGAAAGTCACAAGTGGAAAAAAACAGAATAAGGGTGGGTGGGTGGGAATGGACAATACAGTTAGGGTATGGCATAACAAACTGAAACAAAGTAGTAGTGTGAATTTTGGTTAAAGGACAAAAGAAAATGGATAGGTGGAAAGGATAATGTCAAATGGAGTAAAGGGTTAACAGCTGAGGAAAGAGTGAGTAGTGGAAGTTGACGGTAAAATAAAATAAAACTGCTTTCTTCAGCCTTTGATAGTGCCCAGATTTTTGTGGCGTGTCAGATGGAGAGGACAGTGAAAATGGCTGCCTGGATAATTGATCTGGCCCCCGGCGTCTGACTCAGTCCTCTTTGATCTGCTGAGGAAGGAGGAATGCAACTCATGCGTTAATTATCAGGAAACAGAAATATCATCAGTGTCTTCTGTTTTGAGGCTCGATGACAGCATGCCAGAATAAAACTGACACATGTGCAGACACCCAGGTTTGACCTCCAGAAAACAGGAACATAATGGGACACGCTATTTATATGGCAGGAAATCGAATGCAATTCATCTGTACTGCTATTCTAAACAGTTTGCTCCATTTTTATTTTGGCAGCTTGTGCCCTTGAAACTCTTTCAGTGTAAAAGTAATCCATTAATGGATATCAGTGTAGTGAGGTGGTTTATAGAATTACAATCCAAAAAAAAAGCCCCTCTAACTGTTCAGGCTTGTTGCTAAGAGTCTACAGTCCTAGAATAGCAGAGTCGGTCGGTTGTGCAATCTGTCGGTTTAAACTGCTTTGGTCCAGATGTTAAATGGGCTGCCTTCCTCATTAGTGCTGACCGTTGCTCCCCGGTAAAGTCTCAGTGGTGGTAGGTGTTGTTATGACTGTAAGCCGATGTGTTTAGGGAATGCTTTAATTTGACACTAGTTTCGAAAGTTGTGTATAATAAGTAGCACGTCACGTTGGTTTAAATGATAAATGAACTGTCTGCAGCGAGCTTTTATGTGCTTATTTAAAAATGCATCACACAGGCATTTAATTTGTTTGCTCACATTAAACTATTTGGTAAGAAGATGCAGCATATACCTTTAGTGAAGCATGAAGCTGCTTGTGTTACTAGGAGAGCAATATCTGTTTGCTGTTGGATTTTCTGCCTTGGCAGCAACATGAAAGAAACCCGTCAAAAGACTGATATCCTGTCTTCATTGTATCTCATTCACTAGCAGCAGGAAAAATGCAGAGCAAACACCAAGATGTTTTTATCTGCACGTTTGATTTCACCTCCCGTGATCTCAGGAAAAACGTTCCTAAAAAAAAATAATTGTAATAATGAATTTTTTTAAATATATGCGTGCTCATTATTTTAAAACTATTTTCCTTTACTTCTTACCACACAAACAGGTATTTAATGGAATAAAACAATCATACTTTTGGTAAAGAACTATTTGCAGGAAATCCTCATCATGTAGCAGCAAGCCCCCCCCCCCCTGCACCCCTTTACTCGATCCATTTTGTTCGTGCTAGAGGGTAACATAATGTAACTCTGGACAGTTGTCCTTCGGGAGCTTTCACGGCCGGGAATTTCTTTGTGTAACCTGCATACTTGGAGCTGGAAGGGATGAAAAACCTTTTTTACTTGCCTTCTGTGGTTATGAAAGCAAGTGTAATTTTTTTTTTTCCCTGAAAGGTTAGTGGGTGGTACACACTTGCGCAGTTCCGAATGACTCAGCTAGCCGGTGGTAAATGTGCCGGACTATCCTTCATTTATTGCAGATTTTCATGAGCCTAGAGTGCAGTCTTGGAAAGCTGGCCAGAATACAAATTAGCAAGACAGTTTCCCAATCTGTTATTTAGAGTTTCGGACACTTCCACAAACACGCAGACTCACGCAAAGAAATCCAGTCGTGATCACATCTAATCCTTCTTCCTAATTGTGCCTGTCCTTTTTAATACATACACAGTCCCAAAGCATCACAAAGCTTCCAATTTCCCTTATCCCTCATTGTCTACCTGATTACAAGCTAACTTTCTCACTCTGCCTTAAAATTGGACCCCACAACGGCAACAGGCTGGTTGATTGCCACATTACATGCTGTTTACACATGTGCTCAAACGCGATTTCCACGATTGCTGATATAGTTTTTTTTCTCTCCTGGGTCTAATTTGCAAATTTTTTTTTTCTCCTTCATGCACAGTGTGCACTCACAGTTCATGCACACACAGCCTGCATGTGTTTGTATATGTGGGGATATTTTTAAACAGATCCAGTGAAAGATATACAGCCGGTGGTAAACACGGGGTTTGAAGGTGGAGTGTCGGTGTTCT